CCTTAGTTTCATCGAAGGGGGGGCTTCGAACGAAACTAAGGCGCGAGGATTCTTTCAGCACCCAAGGCAAGGCGAGCCGAGCGACCGTCCCGAAGCCATCCCGAAGCGAAGCCCATTGACAAAGGTACAAAGGAGGAGTTGAAGGTGGTGGGGAGAAGCGGGGGACGGCTGGCTGGCCGGTTGCTCGGCTCGCCTTGCCTTGTCATGCGTGCTGATGCCGGTACTGGGCCGCGGATCATTTTGTGATGCCGGTACCGGGCCGCGGCACAAAAAAGGTTGGGGGCCACTGGTTTATATTGGAGGTGGTGACCCTTTGAGGGGTCACCCTGTATGCAATGAAATTTCATTTTAATGTATGCCAATTAGTGTACGTTCAAAGTGACAATAATCCTAATCCTATTCCTATTCCTACTCTCTATTTCTATTTCTATTTAGACAAGTAGATGACATCCAGCCAGGAACTTTTGCAGAGGTTTTTGTTCCAGGTTCTGCCCAATCACTGGACCAGGAGACCTTGCTCACACTCACTTATGTCTTATGCTATTTCCTGGTTAAATGACTGTAATATATTGCACATAGGACCATTTTTAAAGAACATCCAGAAATTACAAGTGGTCCAGGATGCAGCATGTACATGTTTTCCCATAGTACATTATTGCTGTAGGAGCTGCACCGGCTCCCAGTTTCTTTCTGGGTGCAGTTGAGGGTGCTGGTTATTACTCTTAAAGACCTGCATGGCACAGATCTTTCCCTAAGGATATTTGTCTATTCTACCAGGCTAAATAGAGCAGCCCAGCTCCAGGTCTCTCCCTTAGATGTTGTCAACTAGTAGGATCTAGGTTGTACGGTCTTCTGGGCTATGGAATACTCTTCTCTCCCAGGATCAAGGAAACTCCAACTCTTCTAGCTTTCCAGAAGATCTTTTCCCTCAGTCAATGATATCAGGTAAGGCTGGAGCCAAACATCTGCAATTATGTTTTGGTTGGGGAATGTTGTTTGGTGTACTATCATTTTTTTTTCTTTTTTGTATATTGCCTTTACTGTTCTGTTGTGTTTTCTCACTGTTTGGGAGTCACCGGAGCTTTGATGTACAACAGGGGTGTCAAACTTAATTTCATTGAGAGCCGCATCAGCATTGTAGCTGCCCGGGTGGGTGTGGCCGGCTGGGCATGGCCCAATGGGTGGGCATGGCCCAATGGGTGGGCATGGCTAGCTTGGGCATGGCTCATGGGGGATTAGGCAGGGTGGGGGGGGATAGAGGAGTCTCTGGCAGAAGGGGATGGGACCAGGTAGGGTGCCATGGCCTGATCCCCCAGAAGTATAAAGAGGGGTTGCTGTGAGACGGCCCAGCCAGTCACCACCACCCTGCAGCCCCTGCACACTCAGTCCCCTCCCTCAAAGACTGCTCCCCTTGCCCCCCATCCCCAATGGCCTTGGAAATGGGAAGGCAGGGGCCTTGAGTTTGACACCCCTGATGTGTAAAATGGGTGGCCATACATGTTTTTAAAATTGATTCATTGCATTTGATTAATTACGTCAAATTCTCTTTACAAGTAGTCCTCGACTTAGAACCATACATTTAATGACCATTTGAAGTTACAATGGCACTGAAAAAAGTGACTTATGGCCGTTTTTCACCCTTACGACCATTGCAGTATCTCCATGGTCATGCGATCAAGATTCGGAGGCTTTGCAATGGGCTCATAATTATGATGGTTGCAATGTCCCAGAGTCACACGATCACCTTTTGCGATCTTCCAACAACCAATGTCAATGGGGAAGTCAGATTCACTTAACAACTTTAACAAGTGCAATGATTCACTTAACAACTGTGGCAAAAAAAAAAGTCGTAAAATTTCTGCTTAGCAACAGAAATTTTGGACCCAGTTGTGATTGTAAGTCAAGGACTACCTGTACTGTACATCAGCACCATATTCCCACAGACATTCATATTTTTATCAGAACTCAATTACATTTTCAATAAACCTGTTTTGTAAAAGAAACATGTCCTTTTAGAGACCTTTCAAGATATTCTGCTCCAAGTTTTAAAAATAATACAATAAAATGCTTACTACTGCAAAAGAAAACAAATCCTGCCAGACGTTGAAACCACAGCCCCTAATGTTTAACCACAACTACTGCCTGCCTATTTAATCACTGTTTGCAAAACACAACTCAGTAGCCATCATTTTATTGTTTGCAGAAGTTTGTGTTTCTAAATTTCATGTCAAATGAACTTAAAATGTTACAGACACTTTTATTTTAACATACAGCATCCCTATCATAAATAACACTGAAAAAATGCACCTTTTAAACTATCAAATTATTTAATTTCACATATATTTAAAAAATCTCTATAAAGCAAAACCGAGTTCTATACAAACAGATATATTTAAAAGCTGAGCAACTGTTCTAACAATGTCAGCTGTGTACTTAATGTACACAGATTCTCCTAATAATTGAAATTCCTACTTATTTCTATTTAAAAAAACCCAGAAATACTACATTCTGATTCCTATTTCTAGCTGTTCTACATTGTTATATATTTTCAATGCTAAAATGTAAATAAGCATATTTATAATTTAGAATTCCTAGGAAGAAATACCCGGTCTCACAGTCCCGAAAATGAATGAATTCCATGAGTATTCATTTAATGATGTGCTTACTGCCTTGATAAAGCAACACGCTATGTTTGGCCAGAAATGCCACTTTGCTCTATCTCTATCTCTATCTCTGTCTCTGTCTCTATCTCTATCTCTATCTCTATCTCTGTCTCTGTCTCTGTCTCTGTCTCTGTCTCTGTCTCTATCTCTATCTCTATCTCTATCTCTATCTATCTATCTATTTATCTATCTATCTCTATCTATCTATCTATCTATCTATCTATCTATCTATCTATCTATCT